AGCAGGAGGCTGACATGTCCTCCCGCTGCAAGGCTAAGGGGCTCACTCTCAGTTTTTCTAATCTTCAGGGGAAACATACTTGAGAACTGGCATTTGGTGCTGTTTGGCTTGGATTTCGTCCCATTGCTGTCTGAAAGCAAAAGAGAGCTCCAGTGTTATAACAAGTATTATGACTACAATGGAAAGCAGGTCACCCCATCTGGTATGTGGGACTTTGAAACCTTAAACAACATGCTGCAACACAGATCAGTTTTTGACAATATTCCTTGCAAAAAATGTCACAGGGACCTGGCTCCAGCTTTTTACCTAGAGCCATAGCTCTGAGTTTGAGTGTTTCCTTCTCGCCTATAATGGCAATGTAGAACTATGTCAAATCAGACTGGTGGGACTGGAAGTGCTGGGAAGTGGAATCACAGGGCTGAAACAGCAAGGGGAACATTAAGAGAATTGGATGCAGGGAAAAATAGGTTGTCACGTCCCCCCCCCAGAAAAAGTTTTGTAATTGGCACTTTTATTATCGAGTACTTGACCACAGAATATTTAAACCATTCCAAATGTTGATGACCTTGTATTCATTTGGCTATGCTAGACAATAATTTTAATAATGATATCAAACTGAATAGCACCACCTGTTCTCTTTTTAATGAAGCAAGTGTGCAATGGTAGCAATATCATATTAAGGGTGCAACTGGTTGAGATACTAAACAGAAGCTGGCAAGGGCGAAAGTTAGGATTGAGGTGCACTTGCGGAGCTGCAAGGAATCCTGATACAAGTAGTGGGGAGCAGAGCAAGTCAGGACTGAGGTGCACTGGCTAAGTTGCGAAGCAGGACCAGGATGGGATCCAGGTCTGAGTTTGTACCTCATTGCTAATGGAGCAAAACCCAGGTAACATGTACAGCATTCAGCTCTATGCAACACAGAGCCACTCTCCAATAGTCATTTAATTAGTTAACTTCGATTGCGTCCGTTCTTTCTGTTAGAAATGGCATGTACGACAGCTTCTGTCAGCTACAGTAATACTAATAGTATCCACATGTGGATACAGCTCCATAGACTGCATCCCAGAAGGGGGTGACTGAATGCACCTTGAGATGGTCTTTGCTGCTCTGTTTGATACTGGACAACACTTAGTGACCGGGACACACCATATTGGTATTAAAGATTGTCATTAATCTTTTCCAGCAATTAATCCTTTGTGTGCATCCTTCACAAGCTGAATATGCTGCAGCCAGATAAAATCTTTCAAGCAAGATTTCCTATAAGGCTTAAGAACAAAGCACAGAGTGAAGTGTCCCTTGCTGAAGTGGGATTTTCAGAGGGTTTTTTGTTTTGTTTTGTTTGGGGGCGGGGGGGGGGGGTTTTTAAGTACATGGTTAAGTGACTGTTTCGAGAGAATTGCTCTGAAACAGGAATTTGGATCAGACAGACTTGGGGTAGCAGTGTTCCTGTTTAAACCGACAGCATTATCCTCTTCCTAAACACAAATCTTGCTTCAGTTCAGTGTCTTTCAAATGTCACATTTATTGAATCTTGGTGGGAAAACAACTGGCCCCTCTATCTCGAGTACAATCTGAAATCATCCTAATTCCTTTAATAACACTGTGCGTTGCACATTTCAGCCAGCTGCACCAGTGCTCCTATACCCTAGAAAAACCAGCACATTTACTCCGATGCCTTTCAAGATCTGTGGCTGGAGGCACCTGTAGGGTGTGCCCAACCTAACCCCCATTTCTCCAGAACTCATGTTGTGGTATTTAGCATGGGAAAAGCTTTCTGTGTTGTTTCCAGAGAACACTAAAATTACCTGCATTTAGTCTTCAATTCAGCAAATTCTATTTTGGCTTGATACAGCACAAGCAGCGGGGAGCATAAAACAGAACGGGGATAAGGAGACAGTTCCAGCAGGAGCTGCTCTACTACAACCACCAAACCCATCAACTCTTTAAGGGGTTGGACAGGATAAGGAAGCAGGAGGTAAGGATTTATAGACCTTGTCCATGCAGGATGGCCAAGGCATCTTGCATCATCAGAATTTGTATGGTTTCATAGCTTCATACACGTAGGGTTGGAAGGGACTTATGCAGATCATCAAGTCTGACCCCTTGCCCTGGGCAGGAATGAATACTGAATGAATGGTTTTTAACTGCCATGTTGTAAAGTCAGAATTCATCCACATCTAAGCTTGCAAAGAAATGGAGGGCAGGGGAAAGACCAGTGCTTCTTCCCCCTGGGGGTAGGGACTGGTTCACATAGCTTGCAGCATTGATGTTCATAGTCCCCAGCAGACAGAGCTCCCGCTCCAGCTAACAGAGGTATCAGGGATAGCCCCTACTCCCACCTTGCTCCCTGCACATTGGCACCATGTCTAAGGGGTTATTTTATCCCTGGAAAGTGTTGAAATAATTTCTTTGCTATGGCTGATCACAAAAAGCGCTTTTCCTTGTGCAAGTCTCTAACGCAAGGGAGCCATTTGCAATGCAGTGACAGTCTTCCAGTACGCATTCACACATATTCCAGAGACTATGCAACAAAGCCAACTCTTGAGTGGGCAAAAGGATTTTATTATGCTCACAATAGATTCCAGACCTCATGCTGGGTCCTACATCATACATCCCTCCAGACTACCATTTTCCTCGGCAAGCATTAGGTGTCCTTAAAAAAAAGTCAGTCATGGCTGCCTTGCGTACAAACCATGGCTGGGCACACTCTTTCTATAGCATATTAACTCTTTTGGTGGCAAAATAATGTGTCATGTATATAGTGCCCAGCTCCTATCTTGCTGAAAGAAGAAAGAGACAGCTGAGAAGTCAATGTTGCAATTTTTAATGTAATAGGTTTTAAAATACAGTCTTAAAATGGTTTACAAGGACCAGTGAATAATTGAGCCATCCTTATGCAATCCTGTAACACCACCACTCCCCAATTCTGCACCCAATATACATTAGCTACCAATTGTTTGCTGCAGCAACTCTCTTTAAAGCATCACATTTAATAGATCTTCTACCCGCTTATGGGGCACTGCAAAACACCTCTGAGCACTCCTTGCCTCTGGCTAAAGCAATTCATTTAGGCGAGACAGGAATTGTGCAAGTCATCCAGGGTAACATTCCAGACAGCTCCTTGTTCAAAACAGGAACCTGGTTCCCACATCAGGATATAAATAAAATATTAGATGAACTGATAAATAAGAATATTCACAACCCAGGCAGTTCCGTTTCAAACCTCCTCCAACCCACTCGCTGACCAGCTGGGTGAACTGAACTTGGACTGTAATACAGACCACAGTCAGAGTCTACTCCACCCCATCCTATGACTGACGTGCAAGAAGCAGGACTTGCACAGATCTACAAGCAGCAGCATGGTTCAGGCAGGGCAGAAGTCCAGAGGGAAAGGTGTGACAGGAGCATATTAATGGACATGTCAGGCTAGTGAAAAGTGACAGGTCTGCAGCCTTGATCCCAAATGCAGACAGAGCACAGGAGGTAGCAGTACAAGCTTCATTCACACCAACTTTAGTGGGTGCCTCAGCTTCAACTTACAGACACTCCCTCGTCCATGCTGATATGATCCCTGCAGCACAACTGAATCCCTGGTAAGAAAATCAAGGGGGTCACGACTGACATACCAGATGTGTACATTTTGAAAATGTGTTCGTTTCTCTTACGACTTCATGCTTAGACCCAGTCCTAGCGCTTTTCATCCTCAAAGCACTTCACTTTGTTCGAGGGTATTTTGCATTTGAATAAAGTGTCAAAAGGGGCAACTTTTCCAGCTACTCAGTTTATTTTAGATGTGTAACACTGCTTCAGTGCATTTAGATATTCTAAACAAGAGCTAAGATTATAAACTGCTGTATCTTGCTGATTAAAATAATGTGGAAACTTCTATTTTAACCTAAATATACACATAAGAAAATACCAAAGCACCACTTTCACACTGTGCAGTATTTATACATTATGAACAGGGAAATGGAATTACATTAGCTGAAACACATTTAGTGCTTTCTAATGTTTAGTCTGGGTTTCATATCTCGAAATTATCAGCCAGTGGAACAGAACCCAGGCGGCACGCACTGAATGCATTTCAGCAACTGATTTAATTTTTCCATTAAGAATATTTAGTGCATTCTAATACAATTTACTGGTCTCCTTATGAACCTCACCACATAAGTCAAACTGCAATATGGCATTACATTCCCAGACAGAACTATTCCATGGAGTCTGCCCTCAGAAGTATTGCTGTGGGAAAAGAAAAATTCTTGCCTCAGTAAGAAGGATGACCCAGGTAACACAGATCTCCTGAGAGTCTGACTACGCTCTTCATTTTTCATGCTGTTTTCCTCGAAAAAATGGTTTGTAGGTTAAACCAGCCTCTAAAGCAACCATTCCTAGTTACTCTTCAGGAAAGATTAGGTTTGTAATTTACCATGTAACTCATACCAGTCATTCAAAATACAGTGGACTTTTACAAGATATACTATATAGATCTCATCTCAGAATATACATTGAAGAACCCCTTTAAGAGTAAAATTAAATAAATCCTTCGGTACCAAATATGCACAACAGGTTAATTAGGGGACATTTTCAGTCTCTACTAAAAAAAAAATAAGAATTAACATCAAAATGAGTGTATCAGCATTCTAATATATCAGTGGAAATTATGTTCTACAATGTGAGTAAGAACTTGCTGTTGACCAAATCACAATTATCCCAAACTGAGGTTTCTTGGTGAGTGTGGGGGGCCCATTTGTACGATAAGCCTCCTGTTCTTTTTTTAATAAAAAGAGCTTTTCTGCAGTGCTCTGTGGTCGTTTTAAAAAGCTCAGGTTTTTTTTTAAAAAAGACAGTCAACATGCCCGCAGTTACAGGACATGTTTTCTTTACGACAGCACAACAGAAAATAGTGAGATCTAGCATGTGTTCCACTGAAAACTCGCATTGCTTGCTGACTGTCAAGTATATTCTTCGTTGCTGCATACAGTACACTAGCTACAGTCGCATGCTTCCCCATTCCATGTACAAGCATCAAGTAGCTCTCATGAATGTTAATAGATGCATCTCGAGAAGGCAGCCACAAGGGTGGGCTTCCCTAACTTGGTCTCCAACTTTGATTATACAACTCATTCACAGATTTTAGCTGCCTGGAGATCATTTAGAATTCAAGCAGCTAAGCTTTGACAAAAACAAAAAATCACAACTAGAAACTGAGTGTAGAAAGAGTCTCTCTCTGGGGAGTATGAAAAAACTATCCACCTTATGAAAATCTTTAGCATGAACCTGCGGGATAAACAATAACCCAGACACCTGTCTTCAATGGAAAATGGAAGTCAGGTAGAAGAATAGAATGTCTTAGAGTCAGAATTTACAGGGGACACTAAATCCCTACGAATCGGTAGTAAGAACTGCAGGCCATGGTCTGCTGGTCCCGTCCAGTGCCACAGGAAGCTTGAGTTCCAAGTCATTCCTCTCCAACTGGGAGATTGTCTTCAATCCGCCTGATAAACTTCATCCGTATTTCTGTGACGCTGTCCCCCTTCAGTGTGTCCTGGACAAATTTCACATCCACGGCCATCTGAACCTGGGGACAGAGGAGAAAGAACTGAAGCTGCTGGTAACTTGTAACAGTAGTGTCCCTGGGACTAATTTGGCCTTTTACAATGGAGCATCAAGGTCTACAACATGGAGTCTTAGAAAAGGCATTAATTACATTATCTAAGAGTAATGCCACGTCTCCCACACCACAAGCTATTTCAATGTCAGAATATATAGTTACCTGGATAGATTTAAGTCCCAGCCAATACTGGGATTCCCTCTAAAACTCCATGCCTTTTCCAAAAAACAGTGCCCAGTTAACCCCAGCTCCAACAGCCACTTACCTGCTCCTCCATTTGTACTTTGCTTTTGACTTAAATTCACAAGTTTACAGCTACAAACATTTACAGGGGAGTTTAAAAGGCCTGTAAGTATCTTCACTATTCCTATCCATATCTTCACTTCCAGCCAAGGCACCCACCACTATCCTGCAAGAGGCTGAGAAGCAAAGCCTCACCATTTCTAGGGCTCCCCGCAGCACTCCACATAAGAGGTTGGAATAAATGAGAGATGAGTGGTTATCAGGTAGTTCAACAAAGTCCACCAAAGGGTTATTTTCCAAGATCAGAGAGAACTCATCCCCTGCTGGGCTCCAGTTGGTGATGCTTGGAGTGATGCCCAGGTACATTTTAAATGCCACCTGTCAAGTTACATGGGACATGATCAGCATACATGCACAAAGTAATAGTTGCACTGACAGAGAGTTCATTAAAGATCATAAATCACACTGACAATATTTACCAAGGGAAACTAGCCCCCTCCCTCCCACTTCCTAGTTGCATCAATATAAGTCAAGATGCTAATCTCCTTTACACGGTTTTGAAATTTCCATCCTAATCCTTACAACTTTATCCCACTCTGTCCAGGAAAGAAAACAGAGGAATGGTGCCTTCTCCAAGGAGTTAAATCCAAGGACATTATTTGAATCAGATTTTGCAAAGTTCTGAGTAGATTCCATTTCCTATATATTCAGAGGATTCTAGACTGAGTGCCAAATGGTGTCCAGTATCCAGTTAAGATCATCAATTAAGAAGCTACAAGATACATTTTAGAAGACACTTTTGCAATACACTTTGCTCACTCCACCTGAAAAGCTGTGCCCTTGGTGAAGATATTTATGCTACTGCATGGGTCATCTTAATAGTTCGCAGTCTGGCTACATACTATGATAAAAACCAGCACTAACTTCAATTACCTTTGCAATAACATCTGCAGTTTCACGGAAGTCGTGGCATCTTCCTACATTGGACCGGGCCAAAAAGTCTTCTATTAGCCGAACACCTATGTTGTAGCCCCTGTCAACGCACCAACAAGCAACATGCTATAGCATCTGAACTGTAAAAACCCAGTGCAGCCTGAGAAAAACACGCTATATTTATACGAGAAAATACCAGGGAGGAGGAAAATGTCCTATTTTTAACGCTGAAAAAATATCAGTGTTCACATGAATAGCATTCAGTCTCCCAGCAGTAATGAGGACAAAAAGCAGGACAGCAAGACCCTCAATTCTGCCTACTACAAACTTCTGTTCCCAGCCCTCCACTGCAACCCATTCACTTACATTTTGTCAAGCTGCTTGTTGACATCTTCATCATTTTCATAATCCTTACACAGCTGAGTGACCAGAGCGCCGTAGGTCAGGGTGAAGAGCTCCGAGCTCTAAATAGATTCAAAAGGGATTTTACATCAGCCAGACAGAAAAACCTCTAGGCTCTTTGCGTTCTGCTCCCAGCATTACTTTGGTTGGCCTGGAGAGGGGGCCAGAAAGCTTCTGTCTTAAAAGAATCAATTATTTAGCCAGCAGAGGTCCACAATTTCACATTTCAAGGAAACCTGATTCTCATTAATACACAGTAATCTTCAAGCTATATATCTTTAAGATATATGCCAGCTACTGCTCACAGGTGCCAAGTTGAGAGCTCTGGTGATAAAATCTGTCTTCAGTAGGAACAACCTGCACAAAAGCAATGCACACTCCCTTCCTCCTCCTTCCCCAGTACACAGAGCACTCTCCATCAGTGCCCCAATCCGGACTTGAGGTGGCCACCTATCTACCTGTTCATTTTCCATGGTCGTTCAATCTTTGGCGCTCGAGGTGAACTGCCCATTAGTGGCTTTACATTTCAGGAAAATCTGGAGGAAGACCCTCAGGCATTTTGCATTGGGCACCAAATAGCCACTAGATGGCAATCACTTGCAGTGGTTACCACAGTGGTTCTCAACCTTTTCAGACTCAAGGCACCGCTGGATAGACTTGAGGCAGCCCTCTGAAAATGCCAACTTGTAGTTTTTCACACTTTTTTGACTACAAAAAAATAATAAAACAATTTTTCAGGAAGACCACCACCATGGATTTCTAGTTGAAATTTCTGGGTCCATCTTATGAATTGTCTTTGCACACCTAAAAGAGCTAACCTTGCATGACACCTCACAGCACCCTTGAAATGATCTTAAGGCACCCCGGAGTGCCATGACACCCTGCCTGAGACTCACTGGACTAGCAGCATGAATCCAATTGGAACCAGCAATTGGGTACAAAACCCTTAAGAGACCTCAATTTCCGTAATCCGGATTTTATCAATGTCACCTGTTTACGCTGCATTTCTCAGATTCCACATGCCACCCCTTTCATTACAACATAAAATACCCCTGCATTCAGATACTGATTTTTTGTCACTCTGAAAAAAGTTTGAAATCTCATCCTACCAAAAATTGTCATCTGCTTGCACCACGAAATTTAACACAAAAAATTGTATCTGTTCACAAGGCCCAGAAGAGGAATAGCAAGGACTTTCAGGTCAGGACTGAAACATACTGGTAGGTCTGTGCGATGAACCTGTATATATTATATTATACTCGGATCAAAATAATTTGTATTTCCCCCCCCAGGCGTGCCAGACTCATACAGAAAACAAAAAAAGTAGTAGCAGCTATGAGAGAGAGCATCTTTATTATTTCCTGAGCCTGAAGTAATTAAGACAGGGTCAGTGTTTTCGTTGGAGACATTAAGCAGAAAGAATGATTACAAACTCATCGTTAAGTGGCTCAAATAAATAAATAAATAAATAAATAAATAAATAAAAGCAAAGAGGCTACATATGTGTTAGTTTTTCCATCGTGTTTGAAATAAATTGCTCCTGGAGCTATTTTTAATGCAGTTTAAAGTTTTAGCTTGATTTTTTTTGCAGCAGTTAGAAATATCATGGAAAGGTCTAGTCTCAGATTAGGAAGCCTATCACCTACCATGAGATGCATAGATGCAGAAGGTGAAATGAATGGCAAATACCAATACTACAGAATGAAAGCAGCAGGCAGGCAGAAAGGAAGGGAAAAGAGACAACATCAGAGTTAAGTGAGACACACGAATCACACGACAATCTGAACAAATTCACACAAAGCCAAGACTGAAAGGCAGGAAGGGGTTACTCCCAAACTGCAGGACGCGAGAAATAAAAGGTAGGTTAGTTAGAAATTATGTAGTTTCCCACCCCGTCATCGTGCTCTAGTCATAATTAACCAATTGGCCCGTCAGGAGACTTCAAGCGAGTAGAGAAGGAATCTAACAGTGTCTCGACAATCCCGCTGAATTTCAGGTCTAAAGAACCAACCGGTTTTCTTTGTTTTTGGCACGTGCCACTTACAACGTTGCTTTCCCCTTTGAAAAAATCGAAGATGGGATGCTCTACACTTGCCTCCCTCCCGGATGACGAGGGGGAAGGCTCCTTCAACTCAAGGGACACAATTAGACACCCAGCAAAGAATTAAAATATATATATATATATATATATATATATATCTTCTTAGGAAAGACGGGTGCTTGGTGGTCGCACAGAGCAGCGTGCGGGTGGAAGAGACCCAGCTGTTCCCAGGCCAGGACGCTGGCATCGACGGCATCGATGCCCCGAAGCTCCCATCTACTCTACCTAATCCGCAAGGAGCCAAACAGCGGTGCAAGGGGCCAAGGGAGAGGACAGCGGGATGTCCCCGTGCTGCCCTCCACGCGATTGCGGAGCGCTAGAAAAAGGCGACGACACCGCTGGGTCCTGTTTGGACAGCAACCCCTCTCTGCAATCATCGGGCAGATAATAAAGAACAGAGGAGTGAACAGTCTGACGTCAGAAGGGCCAGTGACCTCATGCTCTCCTGTGACGTCATCCCCGCCTTGCTCCCGGAGCCCGCGGGTGGGCGGGAAGCGCCTGCCTGCTCCCCCGGCCCAGCCCCCGGCCCCAGCCCGGTTACCATTTTCTTGCTCTCGGTGCCCCGGCCGGCCTGGCGCGA